TCTATAATATTCACCTTTCACTTCAACATCTCCAATTCCTTCCAATTTTCAGAAATAATAAAACAGCAAATAATACCTGACGATTATGTGCTGGTTTCCCTAGATGTTGTCAGCCTGTTCACTAACATTCCAAAACAACTGGTACTCGGAATTGTTCAGTTGAATTAGTTTATCTCTCACTATACGGAAATCTCAAGGAAACAACTGATTGAAATAATTACTCAAGCAGCATTTTTCCGACTTACGACTAGATTTTCACTGAATCCGACGTTGTAATTGGTAGAAATTTCGATCACTTATTAACTTTTCAGTCAAAGTAAGTCCCCGACCTTCAGCCGACGTTAAATTAACGTCAGATATTTATAATAGCTGTAGTCAACGTAGATCAGACGTTGTCGAGTGTATAGTTTTTTTTGGTGGTATCTCCGACTTTCAGGTTGTGCTTCGTAATTTTAGGTGGTGATTCCTACATACTTTTTTTATTTCTTATAAATATTATTTTTTTAAATGAAATTTGACAAATTTCGGCTATATACTTACGTGGGGCATGCATATTTTTCGACCTACCATGGTCATGTGCATCAGTAAAGTGTAGTGCGTTAGCAATATTTGGTCTCAGCAAGGACCCAGCAAATTCTAATTGATTACCCCTTCACCACAAAAATTCGTACGCCATTATTATTTTATACTATACCCAGTTCTCTATGGTCGTTTATCTCACATGATTCCAAAAAAAGTCGCATCAGGGTTAGGAAGTAGATAATTGGTGCTCCCGGGGTTAAAATAAAATCACCAAAATTGAACCAAAATTTCAGATTTTTTCATTAACAACTAAACGTAAATTAACTTTGCATTTGGTGAACGATGCAGCACTTCGAAAGTTGGTTACCAACGTTGGCACGACTCAAATTTGAATGTTTCAAATTAATGCAAAAAAGGGTCGGCATATGGTTAATCCGACGTTAATAACCAACGTCCGGTTGTGCGAGGCGACGTGGGACCGACGTCCAAATGCTATTTGGGTAACTATTGCTTTGACACGTTACTTTGTTTACAATGGATGCTTCTACTTACAAAAGGATGGATCTGTAATGGGCAATCCAGCGTCAGCGTCACCTATACTTGATAATTTAGTTATGAATCAACTTATAACTGAAGTTCTTAAAAAATTGTCATTTGCTATTCCCTTCATTTTTGTTTATGTTGATGACACAATATTGGCAGCTCCACAAGATAAGTTAGATTTGTTACTACAAACCTTTAACAGCTTCCATCACTACTCAAAGTTGACAATGGAAGTAGAGAACAAGAAGAAAATTTGCTTTTTAGATATTGAAATACACCTCAGAACAAATGGAACACTAGCAACAAATTGGTACACAAAACCCACCAGCACTTGCAGACTGTTGAATTTCCAGTAGTAATATAACTAGTGCATAAAATATTTCCGGAAATTTTGTCTGAAGCCAATTTTTCAACAAAATCATGAGTGCATAGCCTAAAAAAATCCCGAACTCGAAGGGTGAGGGATTTTTTCTTCGGCGCTATGCACGAATGGTTTTGTTCAAAAAAATTGGTTGAAGACGGAATTTTTTAAAATTTCCCTTAGGAAATATTTTATGCACGTGTTATATTTTGATAGGAAATTTCCCCCTGTTTGAAGTTTATTTACTACGTTGTGTCGATTTTTTTTATTGATGCTGATTGTTATCGATCTTTCCCATTTAAATTGCGTTTGTCAAAAATATACACTTTGACAGATTTCTGACATCAATGCATTTTAAATGGATGAGCGGGCATCAATGTCAAAAATGACAATTCTGGAAATTTTCCCCGGGATATTTTCAAAAATTTCCACTTATTAATTTTGACAATTTGTATGCAAAATTTGCAGTGTAATTTGCACAAGGGACATTTCCATTTAAATCACCCCATTTCAAATAAAATGAGAGTTATCAATGGCCTCTTATATAGGGCTATCCACCTCACTGACCCAGAGTTTCATTACACCAATATGAGTAAGGTGAGAAAAATAGTATACTTATTTCCTAACAAGTGCGCAAAGTAAGTCTTGTTCGCACACTGACTGTAGTTGACCGAACGACGCGGAGCGAAGTTCGGGCAGCAGTCGAGTGCGGACAAGGCACTTTGCGCAAGAGTCAGGAACAGTATTTTTTCTACGAGCGAGAAAATTTATAAAAATACAAAATGAGACAATAAACTTTAAACAAAAAAAATTCAAAACAAAATACCCACTCAAAAATAACCAAAAACTAATTATTTAATTTTTTTTTTTTTTTTTTTTACGGATATGCGCACTCGCAAGGAAATGTCCTATCACGCTCGAGAAGCGGCAAGTGCGCGGAAATGTCGGTGTATGTTGGTCTTGAAACGGTTCAGGTTGTAACCTGCAGGGAAAACCGTCGCAGGGAGTTTATTCCACAGCGATGCTGTTCTCCAGAGATATGAATTCTGATATAGTGAGGTTCTTGGTGCCTCTAGTTTGACAGTAAATTCATGGTTACCGTCTGTTTGACGGGTTCGCCTGGTAGGTGCTACTCTCGGTGGAATCATACGTGCCAACTCTTCAGAGCATTTTCCGTGATAGTACCTGTAGAAGAGAGATAAATCGCCCACAGATCTGCGATGTTCGAGACCATCCAAGTTACGAGTAAGTGCGGGGTCATTGATCAGCTTGATAGCTCGTTTTTGCACGGTATTCAAAAGTATTAAGGTATGTTTGGGTGCTGCACTCCATATATGTGAGCAGTACTCCATAGTTGGTCGAATCTGGGCTTTGTAGAGTGTCAGCAATTGGCTTGGTGTGTACAGATGTCTTGTACGAAATAGCACCCCCAGCTTTTAGGACGCCCTTTTAGCAATATCTGCCACGTGACTGTGCCAAGACATGTTGGTCTCTGCAGTAACCCCCAAGATGTTCAACTGACTCTGTAATGTGACAGCACTTCCAGATAGCATGATGTTTGGCTCACCGGTGCTGGTCTTTTTTGGAAACAGAGCTGCTTGGGTTTGCTGCGCGTTGAACTGTACAAGGTTTTTGTTACCCCAGTCCTCTATTATCTCCAGGTCGTTATTTATCTGCGATATTTGAGTTAGTCTAAGATGATGGAATTCACGTGCGGAAAGAGCTGTGGGTGGTATGAGTGAGGAGACTACATTGCCATCGTCTGCAAAGCAATAAAGTGGATTTACTGTTTTATCTATGAGGTCATTTATGTAAATCAGGAAAAGAGTTGGCGAAAGGATTGCTCCCTGTGGCACACCAGCATTTATTTGGTAAGAGTTGGAGTTCTGGCCATCCAGTGCAACATAAATGGATCTGTCCTTTAGGTAACTTTCAAACCAAGTGCAAAGTTTCGGCGATAATCCCATTGCTTTGAGCTTGTTGAGCATATTTTCATGCCAAACTTTGTCGAATGCTTTAGATATATCTAAGGCAATTGTTCTTGTTTCACCCCGCAACTCAATCGCTTTTTGCCATAAATGGTGACGTATGTAAGTAAATCACCAGTTGACCTATATTTTCGAAATCCGTATTGCTTATCGTTGATAATTTTGTACTTTTCCAAGTACTTGGTTAGGTGATTGTTCACAACTCTTTCCATTACTTTTGATATCACCGGAAGTAGAGCAATTGGTCTATAGTTTAACGGATCTGTCTTTTTTCCTTTCTTTGGAATGGGTTGTACTGCGGCAGACTTCCATGATGATGGATATACTCCTTGCCTGTAAGACAAATTGAATAATTTTGCGAAAGTTGGGGTGAGTTCGTTGGCGCAATTTTTGAGTACTATTGCGGGAATGCCATCCGGACCCATTGCTTTGTTTGTATCCAGCTTTTTTAGGGATTTTCGTATTTCTCTGTGACAAAAGGGTACCTCTGGCATACTATGGGAAACCCTTTAAATGAACGGTGGAGTTTTTCCGTTTGGCACTGTTAGGTTGGAGTTGGAGGAAAACATTTGGGCAAGCATATTGGCTTTTTCCTCTGATGTTGTGGCTAAGTGATTATTTTTATCTGTAAGTGGTGGTATGGATGACTTGGTGAAGGTAGATCCAACAGCTTTTGCAAGAGACCAAAAAGACCTAGAACTACTTGGACAATTCAGCAACCTGTTTTTTATTCTTTGATTGTATGTTTCTTTAGCGGAGTCAATAGTAATTTTGCAACTATTTCTGGCTTCTATAAATTCTGTGTGGTTTTGAGCGGTTTGTTGTCGTTTCCAAAGGTTATATGCTCTGTGTTTTTTCTGTACAGCCGTTTGACACTGGCTGTTGAACCAAGGTTTTGTATTAGCTCTACGTTTAGTTGTATGTGGGATATAGATAAGATTACTTGTGTTATTTCATTACAGCAAATAGTGGGATCAGCTGTTTTAAAGCAAACCTCTTGCCATGGAAAATCCAGGTAATACTGTTTTAGGTCATTCCATTTTGCCGATTTATAGTGCCACATTTTACGAGGAAGTGGTTGTAGGCTTGGTGGGATGAGCATTTCGCACTTTGTTATTATAAGTTTATGATCGGACGAACCAAGTGGAGCATCTACTTGAATTGATTATTGTGAACGATATTGAGAGATTTTTCGGATGACCTTTGGGGTATCAGACTATTGCAGGCACTGGCGACTCTATCTAAAATATGTATCTAGGTTTAAGCTCACGATGTAGTTAAAATAATCACAACAGAAAAGATGATAAAGTATTTTGTTTGACACTAACGTGACAGACCTAAACACTGACGGCAAATTTCATACAATCATCAGCTATGGGACTCTGTGTCATGTAGAATTCTATTTGTTGTCAAGATTCTACACGAGCCGCACTCTGTGTTCGCTGTGTATCAACTGAAAGCGATTTATTTCATAGTTTCTGATTTACATCTCGGGACGTGTCGAATTCTACCAGCTATGGCAAAACTGACAATTGAAATGACATAGAAACCAGAAAATTGTTTATTTATTTAATTATTTGTGATGTGAATTTTTTTGCTGATGCTTTCAAAGTCGATGATTAATATTCTAGTAACTTATTCAAATTTATTATTCATATCACAATGCGAGTACGAATGGAGCATTGGCAGCTGCTATTAGAGCTTTGTGACAGGAACCCGGAATTAATAACAAACAAATTTAATGGGCCTGAAGGAAAAGCTAAGGGACATGCCCTTTGGAAAACAGTTACATCCAAATTGAACAGTTTGGGATACGGAGAAAAACCTATGGAAGGCTGGCGAAAGGTTAGTATAAGGTTTGTTTAAGTTATTTGATTTTTGGATCCATTTTAGGTAAACCCCATTTCAGCTACTAGGTAGAACTTATGTAGGAGACTTATGAGTCATGCCCCTGATTTACATTTTCATTTTTTTTGTAGGCACTGACAGATTGGAAATCGAAGACAAAATCAAAGGCAGCTGCAATTAAAAGAGAAATGCAGAAAACTGGTGGAGGTTCTAATGATACACCCCCATTATCCATCTTGGAGAACTAACTTCTGGCAATAATGGGAACAAAGTCGGTTTTTGGCGATGAAGAGGTTCCTGAAATCGGTTTTGGCAATCACGACAATGTATGTAATTATTTAATAATTTTTAACACGCAAATTCATTTCAACTTTCTACTTTCATGAATTTGTTCAATCAAAATAATGAATGCTCATTGTCATACCACATACTTACCACACACTATGAAAGTTGAAAATAAACTTATGGATAAAATTACATAACCTTGATATTCAATTAACAAAAAATAAACTTTTCTTGTAAGACTTGAATGGTACTTTACCCACTAGTCTAATAATTAGCTAGCTATTATTACTACACCAAGATTTATTTTTTGCAGGAAGAAATGCAAAAAAAAGTTTTGGGTGCAAGACTGAGTCTGGGCAAGCAGTCGAATTGAGAAACAAAACCCCAATAGATACTTCTGATAGCATTCCAGTCACCCAAAATAAGCCCCAAAACCAAGTTCATGATTATGGACAAGGGAGTGGCAAAGAAAATGATTGCATTGAAGATAATGAAGATGGCGATGCAGAGCAGAGGACTGTTAAAAAAACAAAACTTGTCTCAGCTACAAAATCTATTAGACTAAGACCCCAGCAAACCCTTCATCTATCGAGTGAACTAATACAGTTGAATAGAGAAACTGTGGAGATGTTTAAAATCCTAAATGCAAATACTGAAAGTATTGCAAATAATACTGAGAGAATAGTAAGCAATACCCAAAGTATTGCATCTTCTCTAAATATAATTGCAAATGTTTTGCAGAAATAATGGATCAATAATTATGGTTTCTTTCATTTCAAACCTATGAATAAATTATGCAACCTTATGTTTGTCCAGTTCCTACCTATACATACCGGGTGACAATGAAACTACTACCCACGGCGGCATTTCTTAACGGCTCGAGATAGAATTATGCAACTCGGTTTGTTGACAGGGTTTATAAAAAGAATTGAATGTCTTTTCCGGTTTCACCGGAGATGGCATTGACTTTGTTATTTTAAATGGGACACCCTGTATGTAACTTTCGTCTAACATACCCTATGTCAAAAATTCATAGTTTTTGAAATAGAGTGGCTCAAAAATATGTCGTAATTCCTATTGGTTTGTATTTTACGTAAAAACTGCCTTTTCCGGTAAAACCGGAAAAGACATTCAATTGTTTTCGTATTAAAATTGTTCACAATTTTTAACCCTATCAACATACCAAGTTGCATATTTCTATATCTCTAGCCGTTAAGAAATGCCGCCATGGGTAGTAGTTTTATTGTCAACCGGTGTATAGTTGCTCAAAATAGTATTAAGTATTGTTATTTTTTTCCTAGTTGAAATTGTTTATTAGAAATAATTAATAGTTTATTGAAATAGGATAGGGATGTTTCTTCCATTAAGTTGTGTTTCTCACATAGTATAAATTGATTTTTCTTTGGAAATAATTGTATTTTCATTTTCAGATTTATTATACATATAATTGAAAATTTGGATGTATAAAAATTAATAAATAAAATAAAACACCAATAATTATTAACATGACTAATTTTTTTATTAACAAAAATATCAATAGTGTGTTTATTTTAGTGGCAAGCAGATGTAATAATTATCACGTCTGCATGCCACTAAAATAAACACACTATAAATTATATAACAGACGATAAAAACTTTTAAAAAATTGAAAAATATTAATGTCTAAAGTATCTCTGAATAATATGGTTTCGTGCTTGGACTCCTCCCTGAAAAATATTGCCGTTATATGGTACATGAATGAAATCCCTTCTATTTGGGAGTACTGGAATAACAAATTCATCATTCAGTCTTCCCTCAATGCAAATATTATGCAAAATTGCACAAACATTCACAAAATTGCCAACTTTTTCTGGTGTATATCTTAAAATTTTTGATAGGCACAAAAATCTTCCCTTGAACACGCCTATACACCGTTCTACACAGTTTATTGCTTGAATCTGGCACTGGGTATAGTTAAATTCTGGAGTCCCTGGAGCTGCATTTTCTATAGGCGTCATCAGCCAGGGCTCTTGAGGATACCAGGAATCACCCAAAAGCCAGGAATTCCTGTCTCCATTATTGTGCGCAGCTTCCATTTCCCTTTTTGCAATAGAGTTTCTCCATATATGAGAATCATGGGAAGCTCCTGCATGCTGGGCATTGACATTTAGGATTCTTAGATCTGAGTCACAAATTATTTGTACATTTTTTGAATGGAATCCTTTTCGGTTTAAATAGGCGTGTTCTTGTTCCTGTGGCCTGATAATCTCAATATGGGTTCCATCGATAGCTCCGACTACTGCTGGAAAATTAAATTTTTCCATGAATCCTGCTTTAACGTCATTTCTTCTATTTAATGTTGAAGGAAATTGCACCGTTGGCAGCAAAGTTATCAATGATTGCCATTGTAACCTCGTGAATTGCCCTACTCGTACTTTGTTGAACCACAGACACATTGTAACTTCGGCCAATAACTCGTTGGTAGGTACCAGTAGCAAAAAAATGTAAGTGCCGAAAAATTTCACTGATGGTGGAATTGCCACTGGATTCACATTATTTGTTATGGCTGGCATAATCCCATCCAGCACATAATGGGTCATGTCTTTTGTCAACCGGAATAATTCTTTGAACCTTACATCTTCTATTTGGAAGCATTCACTATTTTCCCGCATAATTCTTCTTTGGATGTTTTCTATGCGGATTTCCTCCAGTCTATCATCCTCTTCGACAATCACATTATTCAAATTGTTTATGGGAAGCATTCTTTTCAATCCTCGTTTCAATCAAGCTTATAAATTGTTCAATGTTCAAAAACAAAAAAATCAAAAGGAATAACCCAACACGTTCTAAAAGGCTTCGAGAGTTTTTGGCTTGGGATTTATTACTATTTTATGTTGCAAGACAACTTAATTCAAAACAACAAGGAAAAATCAAAATTTTGTAAGTTTATGTTAATGTCAATCAAGTGATGAAATGAAAATCAATGAATGAAAATAATGAAATGAATCAAAACAATATTTATATGGTAGAAATAAAAATTCCCTAGAATTTCCCCGAAATTTGACAGAATGTTTTTGGGTAAATTGAAAAAACGTGCCGAAAATTTCCGATGTGTTGTCGACAGTGACACAGAGTAGGCATGAAGGGTACTGTCGACTATAAAATTAGATTTCTTTAGTAGAAAGCTACCTATAGAACTCTACATGGCACAGAGTCCCGCTCCAGGCCTGTTTTCACAAAAATCACAGACCAGTCAGAGCAAATTTCATTCGTTAAAAATAGTCAGAAAACTGGTTGTTGGCGATTTGTACCAATCAAAAATGCTCTGAGTGGTTTGAAATTTTTGTGGAAACAGACCATTTTCTCTATGGACCTTTTAACGATACATGAATATTTTTATTGGTACTTTGTCAAAATTGAATCTTGTCAGCACTAGTGCGCAAAATTAAATCTTCTCGCAGTAGTGCGCAAAAGTAGATTTTGCACTACCAACTGCGTGTGCAAAGTACCTATTTTGCACACGCTCGTAGAAGAAATACTTTTTCCTACGAGCGTGCGGAAAACGCGTTTTCACGCACTGATTTGTGTGCGGAAAGTACCACTTTTCCGCACTGCGTGCGTGAAAAATTTTTTACCGCACGGCGTGCGCGAAAAAAGTTTTTCACGTACGCTGTGCCCGAGAAGTTATTTTTGTATCTAGGGCGCGAAATGCTACTTTGGTTATCGAGACTTGATTTTTTTAACGAGGCGTAGCCGAGTTGAAAAAATAGTCGAGATCACCAAAGTATTTCGCGCCCGAGTTGCAAACAATATTTTTTCTACAACTCCATTTAAATATCGATCATTCGAAGCCAAAATTGCATTCTCAATCAAAGGTAGGTGAATTTTAATTATCTTTGGTTTCCTGACAGGTATGTGTCACTATGACACACCAGTGTCATGGGAACGTTAAAAAATCAATACCTGGGAAAAAAAGTGTCACCTCGCAAACTGTCATGAGTGTGCGAACATCATCATTTTTTGACAGTTGTAGAAAAAAGTTTTTCACGCACTGATTTTTTTTTTTTTTCCAATTTTTCTCTTCATGTCATGCTTCTCAAAAATTTTAGATCTTTTTGGAATTCCTCCACCGTTTTTTCTCTTCAAGAAAGCTATTAGGTTTTTGTACTGACCAATAGCGACTTCTTTAACGAGTTATATACCATAAATAGTTAATTCTATTTAAAATAAAAAAAATTGTTAATGTTCTGTTGTTGAAATCATTGCATTACTAAACTTAATTAAGAAATCACATTATTGACACTTTCTCTTATCAGTAGAGCCAAAAACAAACAAAAAACCAATATGTAAATTTCGGCACGCTCGTAGGAAAAATGTTGTACCTAACACGAGCGTAAAGTGTCTTTTCCGCACATGTTAGGTAAATAACTATTTCCTACGAGCGTGCGCAAAGTAGTACTTTTGCGCACGAATTTCCGTTCTCAAAGTTACACTTTTCCGCACTCAATGCGGATAAGGCCTGTATCCACACTGAGTGCCGAAAAGTAAAAATAATTGTCAAGCAACAACAAGTGCACCTGTCGACTTTGACACATGATGACAAATTTTTTCTCTGTTTCTATATCAGCCAACATCTATACAAACACTGAATATAATTAACTTTGACACATTGTCAGATTTGTGTTCTCCATTTACATGCAAGAATCTACAAACTTCTTTCGCATCAAATTTAAACGCTTTAAGATGAACAGCTCTGACGAGGATTTCAATTTTCTGTTCTTTTTTTTTTGTTATGTAATTTTTTGATGAATGAATAGGTTCACTTCAAGTTCATTGAGAATAAATGGACAAATTATCGTTTGTTTTTTTTAATTTTTGTTGTTACCCACCTGATATGAAGCTCGTAGGAAAAATGTTGTTCCTAAAACGTGCGCAAAGTATCTTTTCCACACGCAAACACTTATACGAACTCCGCTTTGCGTCGTTCGTATAACTGTGTTTGCGTGCGGAAAAGTAACACTTTGCACTGATGACAATTTGCGAAGTGACACTTTTTTTCCCAGGTATGGATTTTTTAATGTTCCCATGACGCCGTGCGCGAAATGATTCTCCAGTGTGCGACATGCCTAGTTCGCACACTCAGGTAACAAATACCTGATACCTGACAGGAAACCAGAAATAATTAAAATTCACCTGCTTTTGATTGTAAATGCAATTTTAGCTTCGAATGATCGATATTTAAATGAAGTTGTAGAAAAAATATTGCTTGCAACTCGTGCGCGAAATACTTTGGTGATCTCGACTATTTTTTCAACTCGATCACCAAAGTAGCATTTCGCGCACTAGATATTGTCACAACTCCTATACGTTTCGTCCTGGGACGTCACAACAGGAGCGTGACTTGGGGGCGTCGGTGGGGTTCAGGTAGAGAGAAACTCGCTTAGTATACAGGGTGTCCCACGGTGGATGGCGTATTAGACGTTTATGGAGAACTAAAGAGCGGATCATTTTGAAAATTTGGCAACCGGGATAAACGACCATGATCTACACTTTAAAAATATTTTTGACCATGCGGTGTTGCCGCTTCTACTCTAAACCAGTGACAACATCGCTATTTTTAATGGAACACCCTGTATGTGATTGCATATTTGGATTCTACGTAAAATTCTGAGCAGATTTCATGCGTTTTACCCTATACCTAAGTTCAACTGTTTTGGAAATATTGACAGTTGAAAATTGACTTTTTGTAACTTTGACAGGCTGTAAAACCTAAACGGTTAATTTTAGAGGAAAACCGATTTCACATTCCTATCTTAGATTTTCATAGACTATCATTTGACACCAACTTTGAATTTAACCGGAGATTAAATTTAATTGGAATTTTTAATCATAGATTAAATTCAAAGTTGGTGTCAAATGATAGTTTATAAAAATCTAAGATAGGAATGTAAGATCGGTTTTCCTCTAAAACTACCCGTTCAGGTTTTACAGCCTGTCAAAGTTGCAAAAAGTCAATTTTCAACTGTCAGTATTTCCAAAACAGTCGAACTTAGGTATAGGATATATCACATGAAATCTGTTCAGAATTTTACGCAGAATCCAAATATGCAATCACATACAGGGTGTTCTATTTAAAATAGCGATGTTGCCACTGGTTTAGAGTAGGAGCGGCAACACCGCATAAACAAAATATTTTTAAAGCGTAGATTATGGTCGTTTATCCCGGTTGCCAAATTTTCAAAAT